GCGCTCCCCCCAGCGCTGCTCCGACACCCGGAGCTGGAGCAACACCCGGGCAAGCAGCAAACAGCAAACAGCTCATCCCAGCTCGGCGCGGAGATCAGGAGCTGTCAGTCGTGAGAACGGCCGCTGCTGGTCAGCCCTGCGCCGGAGGCACGGATGGGCTGAATCCTGGGTATTCCGTGGCACGTCCCAGGATTTGCTCCAGCTCCGGCTGCCACTGCGGCTGCTCGGCGTTTCTGCAGGCTGGGCCCGAGCGCCCGGAGCCAGAGCACCCCGCGAGGAGGAACCCCACTGGCCTGGCAACAGCGTCACTCCAAAATCATCCCTGAGGAGCTGGGCAGTGATGAAAAGCCGGCAAAGCCCAGGGCCCTCCCTCCTCTCGCTGCCTTCTCCACATCCCTCCCAACTCTGGCAGCCAGCGAGGCAGAGACCTGTCAGAGCCTCCCTGGAGTGGCACCCCCATCCTCCCAGCCGTGGGTCCCCTAAAGCCACTCCGGGCTCCTGTCCCCTCCCGCCACCATCCCACCCTCCACCCCAGCTGGAGAGGGACCCTGGGGGAGGACAAAAATGTCGCGGGCCTGAAACACCCCGGCAGGGCCGCTGGGAGCTGGGCACAGCGGGAGCGGCTCTGCTCCGGGGATGCAGCCGCGAGGGTCGGGGGGACCTTGGAGAAGGGGGACAGGGTCCCCCCGGCCTCGCAGTGGGCCGGGGGAGGACGGGGAGGACGGTCTGCAGCGGCTGGGAGGGAGGATGGAGGCCGGGCTCCGCTGCCACCCGCCGCGGCCGAGGCTCCCCGGTCCCCGCGGCGCTGCCCGGGCTGAGGCTCCGGCTGGAGCCGGCTCCGGCTGCGGGCAGGGAGGGGAGCGGAGCCCCCGCTCCTCCAGGCGGTTCCGACAGCAGAGACACTCACAGAGACACGCACACACACACACACGGACACACACACGGACACACGCACGCAGACACCCGTGAAAAAAGCACGGGAGCCGCTCTGCCGGCACCGGCTCCGCGCTCAGCCTCGCGTACCAGGAAACACGGATCGTCCGCGGCGCAGAGACACGCACAGCCCGCTGACACACTCGGAACCGGCTGGCACACTCAGAGTCGGCTGGCACACTCGAAACCGGCTGGCACACTCGGAACCGGCTGGCACACTCGGAACCCGCTGACACATTCCGAGCCGGCTGACACACTCACCGCACGCACACCCCGTCACACACACACACACACACACACACACACACACACACACCTCTCCGCACACAGACACGCGCAACCCCACTCGTGTCCCCGCACCCCGCTGTCGCAACCACCCCACGCGGACTCCCCGCCAGCCCCTCTCGTCCCGCCGCTCCGGCTCCCGGCTCACGCACAGCCCCGCTCCCAGCCGGCTCCCGGCTCGCCCGCAACTTCTGCGGCTCCCACGCAGCCGCGCACCCCGCGGGCGCACACACCCAGGGCTGGACGAGGGACACACACCCAGGGCCACCCCCCACGCGGAAAAAATAAAACACCCCGAAACACGCGCTCAGCCCCCGCCACAGCCGCCCTCCCGCAACCACCGCCCGCCCTGCGCTGCGCTGCGCTGTGCGGGGCTGGCCGCGCTCCGCTCCGCTCCGCACAACAAGTGGCAGCGCCGGGCGGGAACGGGGACAAGCGGGAGCCGCCCCGCTGGCCGCGGAGCCCCGCGCAGCCCGGCGCGGAGGGGAGCGGAGGGATGCGGGATGCTCGGGAGCGGGATGCTCGCCAGCGCCGCTGCCGCCGCCGCCCGGCCCCGCGCTCCCGCACAGCGCCGAGCTCCGGTGCGGGGCATCCTGCACCCCCTCCCGAGGCTCTGCCTGGCTGCGGGCGGGGGTCCCGGCCCCTCCGCAGCTCTTACTTGGATGGTGCCGGCGCTGCGCTCCGTGCCGAGCCCCTGCGCTCTGGTCCCGCGGCGTCTCCATCGCCTCCTTCCCGCCGGGACCGGGCTCCCCCCACCCCCCGGCTCCTCTCGAGTGCTATCCACGGATGAAAACCAAATGAGGAAAAAAAAAATGTAAAAAAAAAAGAAAGGAAAAAAAAAAAAAAAAAAAAAAAAGGGGGGAGGGGGGGCAAAAAAAAATATAAATGTCCCGTGGGAACCGCCCCCCTCCCCGGGCCGGGGCTGCGGCTCCTTCGGCGGAGCGGCGGCTCAGGCTGGAGGCAGCCCCGGTGGGCAGCTCGGTCCGTGCCCGCCTCCGTCCCTCGGTGTGTGTGAGGATGTGCAGGGGAAGCGCAGCGCAGGCACGGCCCCTTCCCCCCCCCGCCCGCCGCTGCCTCCGCCTCTCGCCGCCACCACCACCACGGGGAGGTGGAGCTCCGGCTCCTTATCAGATCCCGAGCCCGGCCGGGCTGCCGGCACCAGCGGGCAGCGGCTGCGGGGCAGAGCCGCCCGGTTCGGGGCTGCCGGCACCGCTCCCAGCGCCGAGCAGAACGGGGGTCCCCCCGGATCCCCTCACCCCGGGGACCCCTCCGCTGCGCGCCCGCACACGTGCGGCTCGGCTCTCCCTTTTCACTCCCCTCTCGGTGCTCTTAATGATTAACTCGCTCATTTATTCTTCCAGCCGGCGCTTCACAACCCCACAACCCCATTGCACGGGGCCAGCGCGGCCGGGAGGGTCCCTCGGTGGGACCGAGCCCACCGGGGGCTGTGCCCAGCCCTCCGCGGCCCCCCCAGCCCAGCAGGGCTGCGGCCAGGCTGCAAAGCTCCTCTTTGGCTGCGGTGCTGAGGCTGGAGCGGCCGCCGTGCTCTGCCGTCACACCTCGGTGAATCACGGCTTTATTTATTGCGGGGTGTCGGGGCTCAGCAGGCAGGCACGGAGCACCTGCGGCTCCCAAAAGCACCAGCGAGCTCCCAGCGCCCTTGTGATGCCTTCACAAGCTGCTCTGGCTCACCCCGGCTGGCCGAACAAAGTCCCCGCGCTCCTGGGGACAACGCGCTCCGGGGCTGCCCCTTCCCTTGCTGCCCCTTCCTTTGCCGCCTCCGCGCTCCCTGCCAGGGGCTGGAGCTGCAGCCCGACCCTGCCAAAACCCTGGGCACCCTCCGAGGGTCTCGCAGCCCTTGGCGCTGCCCCTCACCCGCCCTCCGGGCCGGTTGCAGCGCGGATTTCTCGCCAGGATGCTGGAAAGTCCTTCCCGCTCCGCCGCAGCGAGGATGGGAGCGCGTCTCCCCGCTGAGCTACGCCAACCTGTTGCGCAGCGCCCTTCGCTGCACACATGCTCAGCTCGGCTGCATGACTGCACCATCTAGAGGCTGCGCCTGCCTGCTCGGAGCAGCCCGGCTCCATCTCACCCCCTAAATCACCCCTTTTTCCCCCCCAAAATTGCCGTGCTTTTCTCCCAAATCTCCCCGCTTTTCCCCGGCAGCAAGCGGGTTCAGCGCCGTGGTGTGGCTGCGTCCCGCCAGGCAGGAAAAGGGGGCTGGAGAGTCACCCCTCAGGATGGAGAGCCCAGCTCTCCTCCCAGACTTTCTGCTCCTGCAGAGATGTCGGCTCCTCCGCGTCCGTGCGTGGGTTTTTTTTTTTTTTGTCCGAGTGTCAATTCACATGAAGCCAATTTAGCAGAAGATGTGAAGTGAGAAGGCAGGGAAGGTCAGAGCCCACCTTTGGGGCAGCGAGAGGAGCTGTGGGGTTTGTCAGGCTGTGCCCTGCTGATCCAGCGTGAGCTGGGCAGGGAGAGGGAGCGAAATTCCGAGGAGATGAGGGGAGGTTTGATGGATCAGTAACTGGCAGCTCTCCTTGGAGGGACGGAGAGCTGGAGCAAAGGGAGAAACCGAGGGAGTGACCCGGTGGATCCGAGGCTGCCTGCGGAGCAGGAACAGCAAACTTTAGAGATTGCTGGGGACCAAAGGTTTGCATTTCACAAGAGTCACGGGGCAGCCGATCGGCAGCGGCAATGGGGAGTGCCGGGGAGCTGGGCACGTACAGGGATCTGATTTCTGGGACACTGGTGACTGTCACCTCAGCCTCTCCTCAGACACGTTTCTGAGGGACAGGTCCAGGCTCCAGGAATGCCGGGGAAATGTCCTGGCATCAGGAACCAGCACTGTGCAGCCCAGAGGAGCAGCCTGGCCCAGCCCTCCAGCAGCACCTGTGACCCAGGGAGCTGAGGGGACGCCATGCCCAGGCCACTGCTGGCCTGGCATCCCAGGCCTGCCTCGTCCATCTCTGCCTTCCTCCTCCACCCCACTGCCTTGGAAAGCCCCTCCCAGAGTGCTCCTTGCCGTCTGACAACACAGGAAGCTCTGCCATTCCCTGTACTTCCTTCTCCTGGGCCTTATTGTAGAATCCCAGAATGGTTTGGGTTGGAAAGGACCTCAAAGTCCATCTCATTCCAGCCCCTGATCTGGCAGGGACACCTTGCACTATCCCAGGGTGCTCCAAGCCCCATCCAAACTTGCCCTGAACACTTCCAGGAATGGAGCTTCTCCGGGCAACCTGTGCCTCACCACCCTCACAAAGGCAAGAAAGAATTCCATCCTGATATGTACCAGCTCCAGATGAGTCACCCATCCTCACCTTGTCTTCACCATTCCCGGAAAGCAGAGCCAGTCTAAGCAACCAGAAAGCCTCAGGCTGCAGCTCTGTCTGCAGAGTTATTCCGTGAGCCCCTGCAGGGCTGGCAGTGCCACCGCCCCCGGAGCTGCTGCTGGAGGCTCTGGCTTGCCCCGAGCTCCGGGTCCCCCGTGCTGGGCTGCTCCAGGTACCCCGTGCTGGGCTGTTCTGGCATCACACAGAGGCAGCAGCTTCGTGGTGCCGGTGGGGCCTTGTCAGAAGAACAAAGCCTGCGAGGGAAGAGCATCCAGCTAAATCTCTGGGAAAGCGAGAAGAAAGGGAAACACGGCGAGCAAATGAACCTTACAAGAGAATAAATACCCCCTCCCCAACGCACACACGCAGCAACCTGGCTGCCGTCTGCTGCAAGGAGTTCAAAGGCTCCTCTGTTCTCTCTCTCTCATCAGCTCTGGGCTCTGCAGGAGAAGCAGCAGCTCGGATTTGGGCAGCAAATGCTAATAACACAGATGTTCTGACAATCCGCTTGTTTCTACAATTAAAAACAAAAAGATCCTCAAAACCCAAATGCGAGGAAATGAGCGCATTAAAGAACTTCTCCTCCGCTCGCCTCCTGCGTCACCGAGGGCTGCAGGTTTGCGGGGGAAGGAGCTGGGTGGGTGCAGCCCCATCCGGAGCAGAGGTGGGATGGGGTGGGAGCAGCTCATCCCTCGGACCACGGCGAGGCTCCGGCCGCGGGATGCGGGCAGCCAAACCCAGCCGGGATCCACGGAGCAGCCCGAGGGCTCGGATGTTCGCAGCCCGTCTTGCCTGTGGGATGCTCGCTGCCAAATTATTGGGAGATTGTTTTTATTACTGTTTTAACTCTTTTTTTAACCTTGTTTTTCTCTTGGCTGCTCTTTCACTCACTCATTAATTTTGGTATTTTTCTCACGGTATATAACCCCTGTCACGGCTGCCATGGCAACAGGAGGGAATGTGCTCAGCGCTAAAATATCCTCTCAAAAATAACAAAAATAAGACAACAGAGGCAGCTTCTGTGGGCTGCTGCAAATGCAGATCTGGCCTGGCTTTGTGGTGACGGAGGATGAAAGATCCTGCAAGCCGGGGAAGCCCCTGAGCCCTGGTCCTCCCACAGCACTCGGCCCACCCCACATCCCAGGGCACGCGGGCTGGGAGCTCCTCCCGGGATGGACACTGGGGCTGAGCATCTCCAATCTCCTCCTCCAGCCCTGAAGTTCATCCTCATCCTCAGGGATCGCTGTCCCTTGTTCCTCAAGGCCACATGGACTCCACCATTGCTCCCAGGATGGACCCCAGGGCTGAGCATCTCCAATCTCCTCCTCCAGCCTTGAAAGCTCTTCCCATCTTCAGGGATCGCTGTCCCTTGTTCCTCAAGGCCACATCAGCTTCACCATTGCCACTCTGGAAGCTCCTCCCAGGATGGACATTGATGTTGAGCATCTCCAATCTTCTCATCCAGCCCTGAAAGTTCATCCTCATCCTCAGGGATCGCTGTCCCTTGTCCCTCAAGGCCACATGGACTCCACCATTGCCACTCTGGAAGCTCCTCCCAGGATGGACATTGGGGCTGAGCATCTCCAGTCTCCTCATCCAGCCCTGAAAGCTCTTCCCATCCTCAGGGACCTTTCCTCAGGGATCGCTGTCTCTTGTCCCTCAAGGCCACATCAGCTCCACCATTGCCACACTGGGAGCTCCTCCTGGGATGAATATTGGGATGGAGCATCCCAGAAAGCTCCTCCCCTTCCTCAGGGGGCACCATTCCCTAGATAATGAGGGAAGATGGGTCTAGGCTTGGAGAAGGGGGTGAGGGCATTGCTCGGGGCGGGGGGGGTTGCTGCTGTCCCACGGGTTTCCATCCACACGTGGATCCCTGGGACCAGCCCCACCTGGTGATGTGATGTGCCCAGACTCGAGCAGCGTTGGTGGCAGGGCCAGGATTGTCACCCAGACCTGCTGTCTCTGTGTGACAGGGCTGGGGGAGAGAGGCACTTGTGTTGATAGAGCACACTCGGATCTCTCCGAGGCATTTGACTTCCTTCCACCTGACATTTTGATTAAAACTTGCATTAGAAGGAATTAACAGGGCACAGATGAGATGGATTCAAACTGCTTCCCTGGCAGATCTCTGAGGGGGCTGCTAATGGGGAGAGAGCAGAAAGGAACATTATTCCCACCTCCCTCCCCCGGGGCCCCGCGCTTCGTCCGCTGCTATGAAACATTTTTATCAATGATGGAGATGAAGAGATGAAATCTGTGCTGGGAAAGCTGGAAAATGACACCCAGAGTGATGAGACAGAAAGGGAAGAGGATGTTTTCACCTGGTTAAATGGTCAGGGGGTGTTTGACTGCAGATATCCGGAATATGTCTGCGACTGAAGGTTGGATTTGAAGCCCTCGGGCTGGATCTTGGAAAGCAGTGGCTCTGGACGTGCCCATACAGGCTGGGAAGAGGAATCCTGGCTTTTAA